TAGAGTCACTATGAATCTAAATCGATTTGGTGAGTTTTTAATAGTATTGTTATAAAATAGAATCACTTCAAGAAAATTTTGGGGAGATTTTGCTGTGGAAAGAAGCTTATTTAAATGAAGTAACCCAGTGTTACATTGTGTTAGATGTGGGGGCTGTTCTGAAGCCTGTCATTGTAGGGAGCTCAAGATATAAAATGGTTTTGCATACCTGACCTGTCTGGATCCTCATTTGGCATCACCAGTTAGCCACTGTAGCCACTGAGCAGTTTATTTTAAAGTCCCTGTGGATCGTGGTACGCTAGACAGATGAAGTGGTTCATAACTTTAAAACAGCCATAATTAGTTTTGCTTTTAATGATAAAGTAACCTAGATTGTTGCCCCCAGTTCCATAGCAAGTAAGTAGATATGCCATGAAGACCCTTTTTAAATCAGTGGGTGTGTACATGTGAGTATATATGTACATATGTATTTGTGTAATTTTTTAAAACTACAGATGCCTTTGATAAGGCATCTACCTGGTTCAGTCATGGCCAGTGAAACAGACCCAAATTTTTTAAATGTGGGTGAACAAGAACACTATCCAGAACAGGAAAAATTATAGTCAAAGCCCTGCTAGGAACTTAATCTCTCTCTTTGAAAACAAAGACAGTATGCACATTGCATAGCAACCAAATCTCTTGATTGGCTGAATCAGAATCAGCTATGCCCAGCTCAGAGATGGGGGCTGATTGCACCACCATGAATGTGTGTCACTGTCTGCAGTCCTGGCAGTAATCCAGCTTCCCACATCAGGCTCCTGAAAGGCCTTACTACACCTTTTCCGCTTCCCTTCCAGAACTTCAATCGATGATTTTTTCTGTTCTGGTTAGTGTACCAGAGCACTCCGATTTTTAAAAGTCAGGTCTATTCTGGGTTCACTTCATTGGCCATGACTGAACCAGTTTGAAGCCCTGGAAACCACTAATACAGTTTTTCATACACTCAGGGAATTCATGAGCCTTTCATCTCCCCTTTGAATGTTATTTCTGGACCCCAGATTTTAGGTTTTTCAAAGTCTTAATTTCATTTCTGACAGATCCTTGAGTTTTTTACTTTTATTTTTCATCATAAATCATTTAGCCCTTGAAATGTCAATCCAAAAAAACCAGGATGAATCAGTTTGGGAAATAGTTGATCCAAACAAACCAAACTCACTACTGTCGAGTCAAGTTGATTCGACTCACAGCGACCCCTGCTTGGGTTTCCAAGGCCATATCTCTACGGAAGTAGATTGCCCAATCTTCCTTCCAAGGAGTGGCTGGTGGGTTTGAACCACCAGCCTTCTGGCTAACAGTCAGATGCCTTGGCACTACACCACCATTGATGGTGAGATTATATTAAAGGGCAAACTTGACAGTTTTTTTTTAAACCATCCTAAGATTTGTCTTCAGTTTTGACTGTTCCATATTAGAAATTATTCGTTTATAAATACTTCACATTTTAGAGATAGAGGTGGTTACTCATTTAAAAAAAAAAAAAAAAGCCCTCAACTCTTTGTTTTTCTTCAGATGTGGCACCATTTATTGAGTTCCTGAAGTCCATACAAGATGGAACAATAGTCTTAATGGGAACATATGATGATGGAGCAACCAAGTATGTAAACTTAAAACTTTATGCAGCCTTTTGGAGCTATGGTTTATAATTATACAAGCAATACATTTTTGTTGAAAAGATTTGAAAATACAGCAGTGTAACTACCAGATAACCACTGGGGGCATGTTGTTTGGTTCTGTTTCGTTTCCAGTTTGTTTCCTTCTGATCTTTTGATGCATAGTGACTTAGTTATCCAGTGTTCCTGTAACAGAAACACAGGTAGCTGGTTTTAACAAACAGAAGTTTATTTTCTCCAAGTTTAGGTGGCTAGAAGTCCAAGTTCAGGGTGCTGCTCTAGGAGAAGGCTTTCTCTGCTGGCTCTGGAAGATGGTCCTTGTCTCTTCTTAGCCTCTGCGTCTGGCTCCCTGGAGACCTGCGGCCTGGCCTCTCTCCTCCCCACCTCTGGTGCTTGTTTCCTTGCTTCATCTACGCTTTCAGGTCTCAGAGGAGATTGATTTAAGACACACCCTACCCAAATACAGCCCCCTTAACACAGCAAAGAAAACCCACTCCCAAATAGGATTATAACCACAAGTATAGATAACCAAAACCCAGGGGCTTTGGTCTCTAGTCCATTCTGACTCACAGCGACCCTGTAGGACAGAGTGGAACTGCCCCACAGGGTTTCTCAAGCTGTAAATCTTTAGGGGAGCAGACTGTCACTTCTTTCTCATACCGAGTGGCTAGTAGGTTCTCACCACTAACCTTTGAATTGGCAACAGAGCGCTTAACCACTGTGCCACCAGGGCTCTTTTCCAGGTACAGACAGGGGTTAGAGTTTACACCACTTATTTTTGGGGGCACAATTCAGTCCATAACGTACACCATGCACATTTGTTAGGAAACTAGTAGCACTTTGTGTATAAACCTTTTATGCTGTCTTTTATCGTCTCTTCTGTAACAGCCTTACATGGTTTTTTCCTGACATGAATATTACTCAATAGCATTTCTTAAGCTCCACTAGCACGTCATCATTGTTGTTAGGTGCTGTCGAGTCATTTCTGACTCATAGCGACCCCACGCACAGCAGAACGAAACACTGCCCGATCCCGCGCCAGCTCCATGATCCCTGCTATACTTGAGCCCGTCATTGCAGCCACCATGTCAATCCATCTCGTTGGAGGCCTCCCCCTCTTTTGTCGACCCTCCACCCTACCAAGCATGACATCCTTCTCCAGGGAATGGTGCCTTCTGACAACATGACCAAAATAGGTGAGAGAAGTCTGGCCATTCTTGCTTCCAAGGAGCATTTCGGGTGCACTTCCTCCAGGACAGATCTGTTAGTTCTTCTAGCAGTCCATGGTACTTTCAGCATTCTTCGCCAGCACCACAACTCAAAAGCATAACTTCATCATGTGACTGCTTTTATTTAAAAGTCCCCCTATTATTACCAGTTTTTTTTTCATACTGTCACATTGGGATGAAAATTTAATAAAATATTTTGCACTTTTGATGATGTCTTTAAGCTAAATTCCTAAAAGTGAGGTTAATTCTCAAAGGGATGAGTATCAGTATGATACATTGTTCATAAAGTCTGTAGATAGCAGCTAACCTTCGGTCCTAAGATTGTGTATGTCACCAGGGTGTGGAAGGTGCACTAAATAAAGCACAAGAGAACAGGCCTCGTGGTCCATCACGTTGCCCAGAAATAACCTTTGAACTCATTTTCCTTTCCAACTCCAGACGTCTGAACGCATATATTTTCTTCATTTTTACAAATTTGGAATGGTAGCATTTATAGCATAATTTTTCAACTTATTTATGTGGTGACTTTTTCCCTGTATTATTAAATATTCCAACAAAAGTGTTTCGGCCTTTGCTCCGGTTGAATTGTGTTTGGGCCACTCAGGCTCACTCATGGTAATTTGCAAAAGCCCTGCATATAACAAGTATATTAACCATTTTTCATGGTACCGATACATTGTATATCATTTCTTCTCTGGAGCAAAGTGTTTGCTTGTTTGGTAAAGAGTAATAATGGTTTGAATGAGCAAGCTAAGTTTCGCTGTTGTATTCCTCCTCTTGGAGAGAACGCTGTGACATGTCAGCCACATGCCTAAGTGCAGGGCTTCAATGTGAATGTCTTGGAGTAAAAAGAGATCTTACAGGTCACCATTCCACATCCCAGCCAAGGAAACATTCCCTTAGAACGTCTTTGAATACCTCCTCTGAAACTCCTTACCGCCTAAGGGTGCAGGAGCCCTTGCCATTTGTCTATTTGGAACAAAAAAAAATATTTTAAAATAAATGTTATGTTCTGAAGATGATCTTCCTGTAAATTCTACCTGATAGTCCTTCATTTGAGTAAAAGAAACAACAGAACAAGAAATACGTTTCCCTATCATTTGATCCTTCAAGCATTTGAAGCTAATTGGCATTTCTCTTTGGTTTCCTGTTTTCCAGGCTCTATACGCATGGCTCTTTAACTTTTTATCATGTTAAGTGTCTAGGTTTTACCCTCCTGGCTTCATTTCCTTGGGTGTTCTCTAGTGGATTATTGTCTCTTAAGATAAGTGGCCCCAGATTGAACACAGTGTTCCAGATGTGGTCTGGCTGGTACAGGGTACCATGGAGATGGGAGCTCACCATGTTTTGGGTATTATGTTTCTTTGAATATTCATTCCGACTAGTATTGTATTAGTTTTCTTTAAACAGTAACATCACATTTTTGGCTCATGAGGTTTTGGTCAAGTTAAGTTCTCAGATCTTTTCATCTGATCTCAGACTTTGCTTTGTTTTGTTTTTTAAACCACTGCCAAGTCAGGCCTCTCTCCCCACTCAAAACTTGGTTTTGTTTAATCTAAATGGAGAACTTTATCATCATTGATCCTTTTTAGTTTTTCTTTTGCTGATTTTGGCCCACTTGGTCTTGATTCTGACATTTGTCCTAAGACCTTCCCGTGGTCCGGACTTCAGATTTTCTCCAAAGTCATTCTTATGTCTAAATCTAAGTCATTGATAAAAATGTTACTAACGGCAGGGTGCCACCCTGCTGAAGGCCTCCTCCAGGGGAGTCTTAGCTGTTAATCAGCTGCAAGTACTGCTTTTCCGACAACTGCCAATGAACCCTACTGGTCTTCCATCCAGCTGCTGGTTTTGTTTCACTCATGGGGGTTATGTTCTGAGACCAGCGGATGTTCACTTGCAACTCGTGGACTGTGCTCGTAATTACAGCACCCTAATCTCCTGCCCAAAACCTCTTCAGAAGCTGAAATGTGGGTGACTTGGCTTCACTTACCCCCTCTCCCCCTCCCCTTCACTATTCTCTTTGCCATAATCCGTTCGCGAAGTCTGTTAGGATTTGGAATGCGTTTTCTTGGGCCATTGCTTTTATATGTTTCTTCCTCTTTTTAAAAACACTGGAGTATTTAACTTTCTCTGTCTTGTTGTTGTTGTTGTTGTTGTTGTTATGTGCCGTCAAGTCAGCCCTGACTCATAGCGACCCCTCCTTGGGTTTCCGAGGCAGTAGCACTACGGAAGTAGGATTGCCCAACCTTCCTTCCGAGGAGTGGCTGGTGGGTTTGAACCGCCAGCCGTCTGGTTATCAGGCAAGTGTCTTAGCCACTATGCTACCTAGGTCCATGCTATTCTAAAGTAACTGACATCACCTTGTAGATGATATTAATGAATTCCTTTAGAACCTAAGGTTGTGACTTGTGGGGGCCTGGAGGCTGAAATCTAAAGTTCTTGCTGCTGTTTCCTTTTCACGTTGGTAGAGTGTTTGCTCCCCGGGGAAGACAGTGGGGCTTTCATGTGTCAGTATTATATCACTCTTCCAGTAAAATGGAGAGTCCCTTTGTTTTCACCCTCGGTAGTAAACCTTCTCTCTGTGGCTCTCCTAGTTTGTCTCGTCTTGTCTTATTCTAAGTACCGTAGGACTGCCTGGTAGGAGTAGTAAAAACTTCATCATTAGTAACTTGTGGTTTGCCTTGTATTTTTGTACACTTTCTTTTCTAAGTTTGAGCCCATCTTGGAACACCCCTGTAGTAGCACTAATTTAGAAACTGTCCTCCCTTGTTTCTGGGATTTGTAATTATAGAGTGAAAATTACTGTTTTTGCTTGCTCGTTTGTTTTCAAAGTGTCATTCCCTCATAGGAGTTGCTATTCTAGACTTTTTATAATACGCTCTGTTTTAAAATACGCTACATGATCCTGTATGCCTAGTATTTCTTAATGCTGTCCTTCAAATTCCTGGGTAATAGAGTGACTTTCTTCCAAAGTCCTTTACACTTCTACGTCCCAGCTTGTTCCCTGTTGTTCCAAATCGAGCCCAGACTACAGTGCTCCTTGTCACAGCCTGTGCTATTCCAGAAAACCAGAAAAGCCAACTGTCATCGAGTGGGCCCCCACCTCACAGCGACCCCCGTGTGCGCCGGAGTAGGACCGTGCTCCACAGGGTTTCCAGAGGCTGATCTTTCAGGAACGAATCTCCAGGCCCTTCTCCCAAGGCACCTTCGAGTGACCCAAAACCACCGACCTCTCTGTCAGCCGCCAAGTGCATGGACCATTTGTGCCACCCAGGAGCTCTGCTTTTGGAGAAAGGGAGTATAGATTCGCTTGCTTTGATGGTGCGACCTCGAGGGCTAGCCCTGGGGGCTCCTTCCTAATGAGGCTCAGAGGCAGGGCTCCCCAGCCCACATGTCCCACCTCTGCTCGAGCTCACTGTGTGCACCCGTCAGAGCTGTTCTAGGAAAGCCTGATCCCCGGCCCTGCCTAACTCCCAGTTTCTCACAGGATAGTTTTCTGTTCTAAAGACCATTTGTACCTAAAATAATTTATTTAGTATAAACTTTTAACAGCTGAGCTAGTTTAAAATCTTTAGTAAACATTAAAATATATGCAGTCAACTCATGCTGTTTCTATGTAGAATAAAGAAGCTTTTATTTGCAAACTTTATTTTCTATAGAAATCCACTAGTTACTGTGCATTTACTGTAAACAGATGGTGTTCTCATGGAAGTAAGGAAAGAGCTGAAAGGAGTCAAAATGTAAAGCTAAATTTTCAAGTTGCTTTTAGCTGTCCGGGCTGGCTTGGTTTCATTCATAGAGATCAAAATTCAAAAGGACAGAAGTATAAAATGATTGCCCATCAATATATCACTTAGTTGACACAAAACTCTCATATGAGCAAGATTTTACTTACTTTTGACAGGGGGCCATACTTGCATTTGGATAATCACTTTGTGAGCAGTTTGTGAATAACGCAGTCCCCTTGGCATTTTGAACTTAACATTCACTATTTCAGTGACCCAAGTCTTGCGATGTGTCAGTTTGTAATTTTTCTGGATGTAAATGCGAGTCGAGCCCCGCAGGAGGCAGCTGCCTAGTGACCTGTTGCCTGACCCCTGCATTGCAGTCCCACTTTATTATTTCAGCTATATGATAGGAGCTGGGATGCTTAACAGAACACTGGAATAAAAAAGGACCTTCCTCACTGTTGCTCTGGTGGTGTATTGGGTAAGGTATTTGATTGCTAATCAGTAGGTCGGTGGTTCAAACCTACCAGCTCCTCCACAGGAGTAAGATGAGACAGTCTACTTCCATGAAGATTTACAGGCTTGGAAACCCAATGGAGGTCACCATGAGACGGAATCAACTTGATGGCAGTGGGTTTGTTTTTCACTGTTGCTCTAGCTATTGGCAAATGTAAAACTGGCCTTAGCTTAGGTCCACGCTTCGCAGATTGGTAGATGAATATGGTTTGATACCGAATACCTACACTGGTGGCCTTCACATTTTTTTTTCCCCCTTTTAGCTCCATAGCTTTACATCTCCCTTCTGAGCCAGCAGAAGGGAGACTGACTCACTCATAATGGGTAATAACCTACACAAAAGTCTTCTGTGGCAATTAGTGATCTCTCTAGTTGACCTTTGCCCTTCTCCTTCCTCGCAGATACTTAGTTGCTGTATAGTTAATATTTTCTTTTTAGTATCCTGTTAGAAAATTTCACTGAAGTACAATTTATATCCCCATTCTCAAGATTCATTTCGTTTCAAATAAGACATCATGTCAGAAACATTAAGATTTCTATCAGCATTTACCTTTATTCTATTTAAATATGCTTTACAAAAGGTTTAGTGGAGCTTGAAATTGATTTTTCATTTTGCAAAACTATTGGTTGCTTAAGACTTTGCATTAGCCCAAGTAGGCATCTTCTACCTGGAGTATTACTTACCTATGTGATGAATGTAATTAAAGTGATTAAATGAAGGGAATTATTGTCATGAAGTAAAGATGTCTGAAAGATACTTCCTCATTAAAAAAATACTCGAATTGCTAAACTTTATGCGTTTTGCCACCACAGAAATAAATAGCAGAAATTTACTCTGAAAAAAAAAAATCTGTATTCTTCTTTTTCTCATAGTCTCTTATTTCAGCTAACTTTATCTTGTGTACTTTGTTAGGTATCAGATAGCATACTGTGCACTGTGCTTATTGTGTTATTCTTTGTCTCCATCTCTCAGACTCAATGACGAGGCGCGGCGGCTCATTGCTGAATTGGGGAGCACATCTATTACTAATCTTGGTTTTAGAGATAACTGGGTCTTCTGTGGTGGGAAAGGCATTAAGACAAAAAGCCCTTTTGAACAGGTTAGTGTCATCTTAGATTTTCATAATTAATGGAGAAAAGCAAGTTGTGTGAAACCCTTTGGTAAACAGTCCTGTCTGTTATTTGAAAATTAGATTAAGCAGATATTAAATATACTCAACATATTTTCATAACTTCTTGGTAATCATTCATCAAACCATTTTAATTTTGAAACCTTAAAGTAAACTTTTTAGGATGTGTTAGTTACTAAGGATTTTAATTGAACTGTTGATACCAGAATCAAATTCGGAAATACTTTAAAACTTAGTATGACACAAACTTTATTTTTTGACTAAGAAATGGTTAAGAACACCTGCAATGGTTTGTTTTTTCTGCTGATACTTAAAGTTCTGCCACACATGCACCAAGCCCTTAAAATCTCTCATTTAATATCTTAAACAATGATTTATATGAACTCATCTTTGATGAGTCCATTAAAACGAGCGTGAGTAAAGTATGTTACCGCAAATCAAGAGTTGACCGGGATTTTCTTAACTGCATACTACTGTTGTGTTTCAACAGCACATAAAGAACAATAAGGATACAAACAAATACGAAGGCTGGCCAGAAGTTGTAGAAATGGAAGGCTGTATCCCCCAGAAGCAGGACTGAAGGAGCCCAGGGGCCACTTGGAGGATGCGTACTTCCACTGCTAACAGGACTGTCACAGAGAAACTCTATGTACATATTTTAAGGGCATGCCGCCATCTTGTCGTGTGCATGATGCATACTTCCACTGCTAACAGAACTGTCACAGAGAAGCTCCATGTACATATTTTAAGGGCATGCTGCCATCTTGTCGTGTGCATGAGCATTATCTCTTTTGATATCAGGATTATTTATTGCTGACGTAAATAAAGACCTTTGTACATATTCACCATGATAAGCACATTTCCCTAATACACAATGTTTAGACGGCTGTGGTAATAGCATCTTTTAATTCTAAAAGTGTACCCAATGAATAACTAAACAGATTGTGGAAGATTTATGGATAAATATACTGATTGCTGTGAAAAATCTATCATGGAATAATATGGATTTTAAGGAGGAGATGTATTTTCTTTTATATATATTTATAGTCTTTTAAATTAAAAGCTATTGGGCTAGTCGTGTGTGTATTGTTCATAAACAGTCTTGACTCTCCCCAAGAACCTCTTTTCTTAGTCTTTCTCTTTACTACTCTTCATCCCTAGAAACCTAGAAATGTTGATATGAAAACTTAGAGCACAACAAAATTATTTTTTATTGTACATAGTAAATGCATAAATGTTGAGGCTTTCAGAATTACAGCTGGCTGGGTTTTGTGTTAGCAATTGGGTAGCTTTGTATTAGCTGTTGAGAGCAAGGCTGCTGGTGGAGACTCCACAGAGCTGGAGAGCCAGGCCGGTGCCCCACCCAACCTTATGAGGTCATTCAGGGCGACTAAGTTAGTCTGTTGAGAGCAATACTGGCACGTGTCTTCCCTGTTTGTTATGGCATTGACCACGTCATTTGGAATGAGGGCATGCTTGAATATCACGGTAATTTTGATTTGTAAATCAGGAAATTATTTTGTATTTACTCCATCTAACTTCATAGTAGCAATTTTATGCTGAAGCGATAATGGCATACTTTGTAGATAAGTCCCTAATTACCAAGAGGACTGATGATGGCATTTTTAAAATAATGTTACTTAACCCAAAATGACTTTATATCCAGTTCTACATAAAAATACAGAAGAGAGATAGAACTTTTTTTGTTGTAACTTAAGATGCTCACTAAAGTTTTTTTCTAATTATTTTTTAGGGCATTGAATATTGTGTATAAAGTATCTTAACTGGAACATAAACAGTTTTGATGTTAAACTGCCATTCACAACATAAGGCAGCCTTAGATACTGAATCTAAATTTTAGATGGCTTGTGTACAAAAACTAAAAGCAGTATTTGTTATTTTGCTGTAAACCAAGTTGGAAACTATTCAGATATTTCTTAAATATTATTGAGCATTGAGGGACTGTTTGTTTCCTCAAACTGAATGTAATTCATGAATAAATGCACCTTACACATTTGAATAATTTTTGTAAACTTTTCAGATTTTTGGTGCTTATATGCAAAATCACATTCAGCATGTGTATTTTGGCATTTAAAATACTTCCTTCGATTCTGTAAATTAAAAGGACACTTATTTCACAGTCCCAGGGATTATGAAATGTTGAAATATTTTTGTTTTTGAGTAAGAAAATACATACTCTTGGGTTTGCATTGTGAATTTTTTGTGTTATCTGGCAAAGTAACATACCTATGGAATTTCCCATTAATGTTTGTCAAGCATTTATTGTACTGCTTAACATGCAAACTTAAATCATTTCTGTGTCTAAACATGGCATTGTCCTCTGGATATATCTAAACACACATAGAATTTAAATATCAGGGTGTCAGGACAGGACTTCCAATATAAAGGCCATAAAATGATGCCTTTGTAATGCTCTGTAAATGTCAGAGGAAGAGATGAAGATGGGTGTGCAACTGCTTTGATGTAGTTTGCTTTTGTCTGAATTCTTTCTTGTGTAGATTGTGCCAACTTAACTTTGGAAGCAATAATTTTACTATATTTCATTTGCAGATTTGTTTTAAATCATAAGTGAAGCGATTGCTCATTTAATGTTAGGAATTTTCTTTATTAAAATAAGAAACTAGGCATTGACATTTTGGTATTTTAAGTGGTAGTTGAGAGCCTATGGATACATATTTTTTGTTTGTAGTCACAGATACCTTCCCGGAACAAGTGTATCATACATAACATCCCTATTAAAATTGAGCAAAATAAAGTAGAGAAGTAAGTAATATTGGGTAAACTGAAAGAACTGAGCCAGAGTCTATATTCCTGATTTTAATATGATTAAAGTGAAATTTATCTTTTTTTTTTTTTTTTTCCATTTCATTGTATTTGGTTTTAAATGAATTGGCTAATATTTTATCGTTTTTATACCAGATGAAGCCAGATCCATTTAGCCTGTATTGCACTTTATACCTTAAAAGTTTACACAAATGATAAATATTTAACAAAAATAAAAACAGGTTTGATAGTTTTATTCAGTTCTGTACATGCCCTTTTTAAATGAAAATGAATATGAAAGGGAAAATTGCTCGTGTTCATCAGGGGAAGATTTGCTACTTAATCTCCTTAATAATAAAGTACATGTAAATTAAGAGTTACAGAACAAATCAACATATTTTACCTCGTTTAAATCTTTAGACCGGATTTTTTTCCTGTCTCTTCCCAGATGACTTGGCAGGTAACTTTTCTGTCACATGGTCTTTTAGTCGGCACTGACCGGACAGCCCCTAACGACAAGGCTGGGTAACAAAGTGTTGCTGAATTAGACTGCGCCTTGGTCCTCATTGCTCGCTTCCTCCTGGAGGTTCATGTTAAATCCAGGGTCACAGTAAGGAGTGCTGGGTAGTGCAAAAGATAACGCACTCAGCTGCTAACCAAGAGGTGGCCATGGGAGTCTGCTTAGAAAAAGCAGCCATTGGAGACCCTGTGGAGCACAGTTCTGTGACACACACACGTGAATAGACTGGGCACAGGGAGGTAGAGCAAAGGCATGTAAGCTGGGCTGCACTCGATCAGTTGGTTGCTAGGAGGCCTGAGGACAGCATGTGCTGCCGGCAGTAACCACCTGCCTGTGGCTTCTGAAAGGCTGTTCCTCCATGAGAGCCTTCATCAGCCCAGTGAGGGGGCAGTCGAGTGACGGCAGCTATTGGAGAAACTTTGAATGTCTCCTCTGCATAGTCGAGAACGACCCACCACCTCTTAGGGTAGAGATAGGGTGTTCTTCAGGTTTGCCACGGGCAGTTTATAACTGAAGTTAGCATGGGAGGGTTCAGGCACAACTCGTCATCACTAAACCCTAGCTTTGCGTAGCTTATGCCGACCACCAAAGTGCACTGAACATCGAAAGAGCAAATGAGGACCAAACTGATCAAGGGCCTTCCCTTGTGCCAGGAAACAATTTGCAACCTCTGAGCTTGGAATGTTTGTGGAGTCTGTTTGTTTCTCTTGATATCCACAGAGAAAAATGGCCTAAAATCCTCATGAGGAGAGCATTCTGTAATGAGAGAGTTGTGCGTGCAGGTAAAGCGTACAGACAAAGCCTGAGTGTGGGTCCCAGTGTTAACCAGGTGGTTTCTGCCTGCATGGCCTCCCCTGTGGAAAGGACAGGTGTGTGCAGGGTGCCTGCCCAAATGCCTGGGATAAAGTCCTCACCAAATGCAAATGCTGTGATTGCTCTTACGGACCATGTCTCTGGCAGGCGAGTAATGTTTTGACCCAATAGAAAAGTTAACAGCCTTTTCAGCTGTCCAATCCCATCATACCAAGTCAAGAGGGGACCTTTATGTGACCTGGGCAGTAAAGTCTTGGGAGAGGAGGCAGCTAGCTATTAACCCAAATGTTTCCTTAACCTCCAGCGTCTCTGACTTTCATACTTAACACTCACTCTTGCTCATTGTATGTCAACACCAAATGGCACTTCATGCACACGTTTACGCTTCCCTATACGTCCAGCCAACTATGGTCTCAAACAATCATGTGCTACTTCCCTTACTAGTCGGCCTCAGCTGAACGAATGAGGCAGTGTCGGCTGACTCCTGCCTGTGGCAGCACCTGGTTGAGGAGCGAACACTCGGTGATGCCCCGAGCTTACCCCGTTCCTAGGAACTTCCTCACCATTCTTAACTCCTGCTCCCATCGGGGAAGATGCTGGGTCTGGACACCCTTTCTCACTAGCATTTGCTTCTCGCTCAGAGGGTCCATCCAGCAGAGCTGCCCAGGCAAGGGAGGGACTCTTGCATGGGGATTTCAAAACTCTGCTTTAACAGAGCTCTCCTTGGTAAGTCCATTATTTGAAAACACATTTGACTTCCAAACTGCATTCAAATACAGTGCTGCTTGCCTGAGGTGCTTCTCTGCTGCTTACCTGTGGCCTGAGGGAGTAGACAAGCTCAGTACTGGGGCCAGTGGTCTCCCTGCCTGCCTCAGCTTTCTGAGTCATCAGTGGCAAAAAGGGCCAGTTTGGAAACCAGCCCATTACCAGCCTGTTATCCACAGGTACATCCCTCAAAACAGAGGAGGGTTATTGCTCATTCTCAGGATCTTAGCTTTTAGCTAAGAGCCCAACGTAAAACTGAGTTGTGTTAAAAACGTTTAACCTTAAAACTTCATGTAAATTTTGCATTTTATGCTATTATTTACAACTGTTTATTTTGATATAGTAATCCTTCCAAACGTCTTTAAATTTTAACCCCGGGAGTTGTTTCACTTGTGTAGAGTTCTGAATATTGGGAGCCCCGTTGGAGCAACACTGGATGCTTTCTTTGGCCAGAAATGAACCTCAAGGAGAGTATCTCGTGGGTCCAAGCTCTGAGCAGAGGAGAGCTTTCAAAGCAAACCACGCTGGGAGCTGTAGTTAGAAACGTGCTTAGTTCGTGGAGAAGGTGGTAGTTCTGGAAGATGAGGCTGTCAGAGGGTTGGCCCTGGGTGGAAGGAGCAGGAGAGCCTGTTGGTGGGCATTTCCTGAGGTGTGAGCACTCATCCTGAAGTCCTGTGTGCCCCTTAGCTGTGCAGGGC